TGTTTAATGTAGACAAAGTGAAAGTACCAAAGAGTTGTAAGCTCATTCAGCATGAAATTCTCGCCTGGATTCTCAACACACATGGTGATCTTTAAACTCCCTGACACCTTTCTTCCTCAAGGTTCATTACAGGCTGTTTATAATTAAATATGTGTTGTTCATTATAAACTGTATCTAAACTGAATATAAATACAAACCTATAAAAATCTCTAGAAGATGCTAATAAACAAACTAATAATTTTCCGCCCCAAACCTTCAGCTCTGCACACGCTCACCTCTTCAAAGTGATTCTAATTTCACACTTTTGGTGAAAGACTAAAGGGGGGGTAATTATGAACATATGGTTTTGTTTAGAGTTTATTTATTCTCCCATTATTTGTTTTCCTAATAGTAATGAGATTTTACATCACAATTCCACTGGTCTCATAAAGATACTTGTGTATATGTATCAACCTCATTCCAACAGAGATGTGTTTAATAATTACCCTCATTCCACTTTAATGTTTTAAAACATTCTGAATCATTTCTGTTTGATGAGCAGTCTAGCCTTTGGGAGTTTTAAGTCCAATCTTCTGCCAGATGTAAAGAGACAGTATATCTCTGGGGGCACAAGTTTCCACATCTTGATTTAGCTCAATCTCGCATCTGTGCCATTCTAAATTTTACACATTGAAGGTTGAAAAGGGATATGAGTATGCCACCTTAAGGTTTGGATCTATTTTTTTAGAGGTAAAATTGTCTTGGAGGATGCTATCAGACAGAGAGTATTCCATTAAATGCAAAGTTATCTTGAAACAGGTAAGTTATCTTGAAACAGGTAAGTTATCTAAAAACAGGTAAGATATCTAAAATCTAAATACTAACAGAATACATGACGAGGAGTAAACCAACATATGCAATCAAATCTGTATTTCATATACTGACAATAGCCTGACAGTGGACCACCCACAGCTCTGCAACAGGGAGCTAAGTGACGTCATGTTTATATGGGATAAAATGCTCACCAGGACTCTGAAGATTGAAGGGAAATTTTTTCGATAAGATCCTCTTACAGATGAAAGACGATTTGGTTTCTTTCTGACATTTTTTGCTGCATTACCTCAAATAAATGTTGATATGTTTTAATTGGAAGTGTACCAACAACAAAACCACCATGATTTATTTTAACTGGTGTATATTAAAAGTCTACCAAATTTACTTTCTTGTCATTTTTTCTTTTAAAGAGCACCATGCTGTTATGTAAGAAAACAGAGTACAAATGTACATTGTATCAGAGTAGAGTATATTGTGTAACTTGGATCTTAACAGTTGTGAAATTTCCTTAGAGAAAGCTGCAACTTCAAACAAGAACATTGAAAGCAAAATGTTTTAGCAAAAGTATACTTTATATCAAAAGAAAAAAAAGCAAGATATGTCTTCAAAACCATTTCAACAAACAACTGTCTTGTGCATGCAAACATTGTACTGAACAACCCTTTAGAATGTAACATAAGAAACCGGTAGATATCAAAATAGCAACAGGTATTCCAGAAAGTAGACATGCAAATGACATCTGCTATGTAAATATGAAGAGCAGCAATGGAGCAATCAGAAGCTGATGGTAGAACCCCATCTTTAACAAGTAATAATATATGTTATATGTTGTTTAAGATTTTTAATTCCCATAATTCTGGTCATGGTAGACTTGTCTTACATATGGTAAGTGTGTTATTACAGTGAAAGAAACATTGCAAGCAATGTCTCTGATAAGAATCGACAAGAATTTTAGATAAACACAGTTTCTAAACATAATAAATTATCATAGAGTATAATTTATGTTATTCTTTCATATTTTGAGCTTTAGAATGGCAAACAGAACATAATATTGATGTTTTTAGAATTGTCTAGAGATATATCAGAGACAGGAACTCTACAGGATCTCAACCTGACATGTCAACAAATATTTCTTAGATATTACACTACAAACAGAATGTCTACCTTCTTTAGTGTTGCTGAATTTAACTTTAGGCAACTCTGACAAAATGTCACCAAGAAGTTTAAGCTGAAATAATCTGATAAAAAACAAAAGCTTGGCTTCTAAGAAGAGAATCGATGAAGCTTATATACATGAAAGATCATAGAACTGAAATCAAAATTGCATTTTGGCTGACAGAGCTTCTTTAATAGTAAATATAAAGGAGTATGTGAACATTTGACATTTGAATGATAAATGGGTAAAAAATCAAATGTAAGACTAATTGAACAAATGGGACACAAAACAGTTATGTCAATTTATGTTATTCAAGGCTTAACAATTTGGTCAATTCAATACATGTACATAACTCATCTTCTTAAACCAAAAAGCTTTTTAACTTAATAGATTTCAGCAATAATTTGACATGAAAGTCTTAATTGTCATATTGCATATTTTCTTGAAAACCATGAACTATTTTAGAGGTTACAGAGGTTTAAAGCTTAAAGGTAACAAGTAACTATTACATAGAAGGCACTGACTCAGAGTTTAACAATAAAAAGTGTTGGTAGTTGAATATGACTTGCAACAACATCCTATGTCAGGTATCTAGTACACAATGGGAGTAAGTGGATAAATGGGAACTGGATTTTTGCTTAGAAACCATTGTGTCCATCTTATTAGCAAAAACAAGGTGATAACTCAAAATTAAAGAGCCAATTGGAAAACCATGCACATTTTCCTTCTAATTCAACCAGTAGGGGAGCCTTGGGGCAATCTGGTTATTCACACCTAAACCATTTTAATAGGGTATTATAGGGCATTAAGTCCATCAAAATGTGCTATAAATTGGACCAAATTACACAATATTTAATAGTTGGCTCAATTATTTAACTGTTATGTCGGTCCACAAAACCATTTTCACAATGGGGGTATTGTTAAATTATTGGACAAGAGTGTGTCTGAACACCAGACAGAACTTTCAAACATTCACCAAATTTCAATCAAAACCATAAAAACATTTGACAGAATGACTATAATAGCTGAGAGGAAAATATTCTATTGTACTTTATTCTGATTAATTCAAAGCAAACCAGTTAGTCTGCTGTTGATCACAGCCAAGGGAGGTAACCCTTGTCTATTGTCTGGGTGGTTTATGGACAGGATTCCACTGTTGAGTCATGTTGATTAATAATTATTCATAGAATTTTACACATCATTAAAACACCAGGTTCAAAACTGTCAACAATAAACTATAATATCAGCATTTTATCAATGAGGTAGCCAACAAAAAAATACTCGCTTTAAAAATTGATTTTCTCCCCATGATGGATGAGTGGTGAATACAAATCACCCAATTACTCCAATTCAAGACGTAGTTGTATAAAGGCAGAGAGAGTTCTTTTGTAAGAAATAACGACAAACTTTAATTTATGGTCTGATGTAAGCGATAGATTTCCGAGTGTTGATCTGTTGTTTTGTTTTTAACAGGAACAATGTGCTTTGAAACAACTGACAACTTCTTTCCCTCAATCAATTTTATTAAGCATGGATTGTCATGTTTATTTATAATCAGAAAACCTTAAAAAAAACCATTTCCACCGTCCTTAATTTAGTAATTAACAATAGTGTTTAACAGAAGTGGTGGAATTCAATATATGACATGAATTTTGATCTGACCTTTGGGACTCATTTACCAGTCAAATCATTTTGATAAATTCTGCATTTAACATTAGCACAAACCATTCCCACTGTTTAATAGGATTGAAAATAGCTTCTGAACATCTGAAATCTGCCTTTGAAATGGAATTCTGTGAATTTACCCTGTTTATGAAGTGTGACAATCAATTAAAGCAGGGCCATTTAGTCCATGGAAAAGAGATGAAATGAGAACAATAGTTAACAATCAAAGCTAACAAGTCAATACAAGAGTGTAGAAACTAGGAGTTGGCAACCTATTATTTCCCCTGTAGAATTACACCCTTGTGTTTTGAAAACATGTGAAAATAGTGATTACTTTTGAACAAGGTAAACAATGAATACAATAAAGTTAGAAGAGTTTATTGCAGGAATCAATCTCAATATAACACAATACATTGTAAATAGTCCACAGCACCCAACATCTGTAACTCAATGTTACCAACAGAATTATTAGAAATTACCATCTCAAACAGCAATTAGTGACTGGATAATCAAGTGTAAAATTGGACAGATTCAATCAATGAGACTCCACACACTATGAAACTCTAGGAAACTGGTCAGCTGGAAATAATTTCTACTCTAATTTCATTTCAATAAAATATTGCACACATTCAGGATTGTCATAGTCTCTGACCTAAATTCTAAATGAGAAAATTATTGAGATTAATGAAAAGTTAGTGATGTCTTCCAAATTAAGAAGCTGAACATAGTCTGATCTTGAGAATTCCATTCATCAGTAGAATCTAAATATTTTAGTGCAACTCAATTTCAAGATTGGATAAATCTCAAATGAAGCATTTTATGGATATGTATACCGAACACCCTGGAATTTGAAATAAAGAGGCTGTAGCACTTCATACAATGTAAATATGAATGCACATGTGTTTTTATTTAGAACAATAATTCATTTGATATAAAAATGTAAGTTAATAAATTGCTGACTTATTTAAACCAGCCCTGCCTCCTTACACCACTAACGTTGCTCTTGGTTTAAAGAGATAAAATTACCAATTAATTAAAAGCCATGCTTATTTCCGTTTGGATGTTTAATATATTGAAATGACTGCACCCCTCTTTTAATAACAATTCTAAACAGAACCATATTGTACAGTCGTCAATGAGCATAAACAGACGCCCCTGATCAAGCTTGATTGTACAATTCACGTGCAAAGTTCAAATAGAATATGAATATATACATTGTACAGTAGAGTTCCGTGAGAATATTTACATAATTCACATATTAATAGAGGTTACATGCACTTGACTTTGGTGCTGATACACAAATTACAACGGAGACCGAAAACATTTTCTTCAATTCTGACTTCATAAGTAGGCTATCAAAGGGGTTTTAAAACCACTTTTTACATAAAAATTAGGTTTACATTGATTGTATATGATTAATCCAATTGAAAGTGATTTGCAATTGAAAGTGATTTGCCATCCACTAGAACAATGACAATTTGATTATCTTAGCTGCCATAACGTTATAAAATTCCATAATGTACATTCTGTATATAGAAAATTTAAGAAACATTCTGCAAGTGTTGCAGGCAATGCCATGAGTCAAGAGTTTATTTTGTTAATGGAATGGTACTCAGACCCAATAGAAAAGAGAGAAAAGTTGTATGCCTTGTAGCTGAAGGGCAGATAACTGCAAAGTGTAGAATTTGTAGACAGATGAGCATTAAAATGATGTAATAAAAGTGTTGATAAAACAGACTAGGCTTGAGCAAACAGTATCATTATGATCAAATTGATTTACATGTATTTTCTGGTTGATGTTGCCGCAAGCTATACTCTAAACTCTCAGTGATTCATTCACTAGTTCCTGATCAAAGTAAGATGTGCATTACTTTACAAGATCAGGTTTAAAACCTTTTATTACTGTCTGCTTTTTAACCATATTTTCTTTCATAGTTAAAGGGCATGGAGTTTGTAAATAATATTCCCCCACTGGAGACTTCTTCACAATTTCTAAAACTTACACAATTCATTCCTGAAATTCTGGTAATATGACTAGGGTTAAGAATCCATAACATATTATAGAGTACATATTGATTTCTCCCTCCCATAGTAACAGGGAAGTTAGAACTAGAATCATAAAAAACAGAAGCACCAGACTTGCTTCAGACGAATCTCTGTGCCCAAGATGGGCAAGATATGCTTACTTGACTGAAACACTATGCACTGGAGAAGATTATTTTCCATTGTACCTGAGGTTGAAGGGATGAATGAATGAACAAACAAGGCTTTTTAAACTTCATGACTCCAGGTCAACCACATTCACAAACTAGTACCCATTCCATGGTAAAATCAGATCTGTTGTCTTTTTAAAGGATATGATTTTATATAATGTTATTATTCCCACAAACTTACCGACTTCAAAACCAGCGCTAGTATAGCTAGACCTTTCTAACAAATGAATCATGAACAAAATGATTGTTTAAAGTAGATAAAATATAGGTGTAATTGTCTGGGGTCTAGAAGATTACAACATAAAGACTAATTAATCCTACCTATCAACACAGTGATAATGAGTTCAGTGATGATAGACAGACTACTGTCAGTACTAATTAACTACCTTATATACCGCTACTAGTATACTAATATACCGGTCAATATAGCTTACTAATAACTTGGCAAGTAGACAATATATACAACCAATTTCAACAAATTATACACAAGTATCAACAACACCAGCTATCTGATGACCACCATGTTTCTTTCTTGCCCTCAACAAGTTGCTGTTGTTAACATTTGACGTGTGGCAGCTCAGCACAGCAATAACTATCCACAGCTGAGTTGAGCTTCGTATTAAGATCACAACGAGAAAGATAGAAATTATATGTTACATGTTACAATGTTTGAACTCACAAAATTAAAAGAAGAACAAGAGAAAACCACAGTAGTTTTCACCTGAGATGGGGTCTTCTGTTTTAAGAGGACTTGTCACTTTCTATATTACAACAGATTGTGTCATTATTGTAGGCCCACAGAGGTCAAAGAAAATACATCAATTTTTTCAGTGCATTTGGTTGTATTTACA